GTAAATCGAAAATAATTTTAATCTTATGGTTTTAATCCATGAACTAAACGGACTCTAAAATTAAAGAGAAATGGGGGTAATTATAATTTAATGATCTGTTTTGATGTAATTGATGTTGTCAATCTTTGAGAAAGCATTGCTAGCAAAGAACATTGGATCCCAAGCAAGTTCTTTTAAACCGATGATCAAAGATTAATCATTGTACATTTCTTCTATCGTTATATAAAAATCAAGCTGATATTATTCCACTTCACCCAAGGTAATAGCTACCATTGCCTTCTACCCGGTAAAAAGCTCCTAGAGTGGTTTGTTTACGCACATTTCCATCTCAGGTTCAAGATAATATTATACATATATATATATATATATATATATATATGAGTTGAATTAAAGAACAAAAATTGAAATTAAACAAGAAAGGAGAATCAAATCAATAAGGAAAAAAAAAAAAAAAGGTAAGTGCGATCTAGGCAAGTAATTATTTGAGGCCTTTCCTAGTGCCAGAAGTCAACCATCTTGCCATTTTCTATATGTATTTTGGGTTTTCGATTCCTTTGGTTGGCAACATAAAGTTCCACCAAAAAAAAAATAAAAAGAAAAGAAAAAGAAAAGAAAGAAAATACTACGACCGACAACGGAGAAGCAAAAAAGAATATATTTATTGATTTGGCACTTCTGAGTAAAAAAAGGAAAAAAAAATCATTTTAGTACCTTATATTATAGTAAAATGTGCTTTTGATACCATGTGTTTTTAATAATATTAAAATGATACCTTGATATTTCTAAAAATATCTTCTCGGTACTCTTAAACTTATTTTTGAAACATGTAGGCCTCATTCATTTCATCAATTCGAGTTTTTAATTTCAGTTTTACTACAGTTAAAAGCTCTCACAAAAAGTCGCATCTGACTTTTTCTGCTACAGTGAAAAAATCTCACATAAAATCACATCTCAACTCGAATTGAAAACTCGAATCCGCGAACTGAACGAAGTTGTAATGTCCAAACTACCTTTCTTATCAATTAAATAGAAATCATTATTTAAAAAAAATCTAAAAATATTTTAAAACATTAAAATATTTAAAAGAAAACAACAAAATAAAAAATTTCATTATTTTTTTTCTAGATCTATTAGTTTTTGATTAATTAAATAAAAAAGTACTAAGATCATTTTACATCTCAAAAATCATCTTTAGGGTATCAAAAAGATATTTTTAAAAAATATCGAGGTACCACTTTAATATTATCAAAAAGATATGGTACCAAAAGCATGTTTCGGTATAACACAGTGTCAAAATGATTTTATCCAAAAAAAAAAAAGAAAAAAAAGGTTAATTTATTAATTCATTGATTAGGGGTGATGGACTTATTAGTGCAGGATGAGCATCTCCAATGAAATGCTATAATTGATGTGTTAATTACAAATTTGGCATTTAAATGTAAAAAAATATACTCTAATGCAATGCTATTTGTTATGTTAAATTTCTCATATGTTATACTTCATGACAAATTTCTCATCAAGTATAGCATATGAGAAATTTGTTGACATTTGATTGCTATTAGTTGAAATAATAAATATTTACTTTTTCATGTAATTATTGTAACTTTTATATTTTTTTAATTATTTTAAAAATAAAAGTTTACTTCCAAAGCTTAATAATTATGAAAAAAAAATATATTTAACATTTCAAATAGCGTTATGCATTGAAATAAAAATAAAAGTAACATATTATATCATATTTGTTAATGCTAAATATAATATTAGCATTAATATTTACATTAGAGATGATTTGCATTAACTTTATATTAAAGAATGGTACAATTTTCAATATAAATACTAATGCTAATTATATATTTCCGTTTTTTTTCTCTCTTTTTTTTTTTGTTTGAGAAAACAAAAGGCTCTCTCAACTCTTAAAATAATTATAGAAAGGGACAAAATAATAATTAAGGGACGTTGAATTGTGTGTTAAAAAAATTACTCGATGACAATTTTGAGCAAAAATTACTAAAATAATCCTCAAAATAATTCCTAAAAAAAAACTCACTTATAAGAACCATAAAGACCCCC